GCAGTGAAAATAAAATGCCTTCATTTGAGGATATGGAGAATTGAATATGTTTACCTATATTGGTCTTTCTTTTTGCTGCCCTGTTTTGAAGCCTTCTCCCTCTCACCAAGGCTCCCAGTGGAGTAGATTTGGCTGTTTACTGAGGAAGAAGACTCTGCTTTTGAATAAGCAACAGGAGCGTTATCAGACGTTTGAATGAGACATGGATGCAATGGGGCTGTGGATGAATTGAGAGTTTGTGTGTGTGTGTGTGTGTGTTTTACATTTAGGCGATCCCTCGGTGTCCAAGTAGGATAATCCTCCAGAGTGGGTCTGTAGGTGACTATGGAGCCCTACTCTTGATCTGCATCTTCTCCCACCGTGAGGGCATTGGTTTCCAGGTGGAAGGCTGTCCCAGTCGGGGTTGGCTTGACACGCCTTCCTCTTGGCACATTTCTCTCTTTTGCCTTCCATTCGTGCCTCTTCAAATTCTACAGCACTGCTGGTCACAGCTGACCTCCAGCTGGAGCACTCACAGGCCAGGGCTTCCCAGTTCTCAGTGTCTATGCCAGAGTTTTTAAGGTTGGCTTTGAGCCCATCTTTCAATCTCTTTTCCTGCCCACCAACATTCCGTTTTCCGTTCTTGAGTCCGGAGTAGAGTAGCTGCTTTGGGAGACGGTGGTCGGGCATCTGGACAACGTGGTCGGTCCAGCGAAGTTGATAGTGGAGGACCATCGCTTCAGTGCTGATGGTCTTTGCTTCTTCCAGCACGCTGACATTTGTCTGCTTGTCTTTCCAAGAGATTTGCAGGATTTTCCGGAGGCAGCACTGACGGAATCATTCCAGGAGTTGCATATGACATCTGTAGACAGTCCACGTTTCGCAGGCATATAGCAGGGTTGGGAGGACAATAGCTTTATAAACAAGCACCTTGGTATCTCTACAGATGTCCTGGTCCTCAAACACTCTCCGCTTCATTCAGAAAAATGCTGCACTCGCACAGCTCAGGCAGTGTTGTATTTTGGTGTCAATGTTGACTTTGGTGGAGAGGTGCCTTCCAAGGTAGTGGAAATGGTCAACATTTTCTAATGTTACACAATTAAGATGCATGTCTGGCATTGGAGAGGGATTGGCTGGTGATTGCTGGAAGAGGATTTGGGTTTTCTCGATGTTCAATGACGGGCCGAGCTTCTTGTATTCTTCTGCGAAGGTGTTTAGAGTGGCTTGTAGGTCTTCTGAATACGCACAGACGACATTGAGAGTAACGACAAGAAAGGTAGTATAGGTACATGCAGAAGCACAGGGGGACCTCTAGAACTGCAAGCTCTGGATCTGCAATTTAGAATTAATGCATTTTGCCCCCACTTTGACTATAATGGCTGAGTGCTGTTGAATCATATGAGTTGAGAAATGAGTTTAAAAGAGTGGTATTTCCCTGGAGAGCAGTTAGCTAAAAACATTGGTGCTTCCCTTGAAAGAAGGGAGTTTTAAAAGGTAAAGCATCCCTTAAAAGACTCTAAAGGGCAGTCCCCAAGTTACAAACAAAATAGGTTTTCTAGGTTAGTTTTTTAATTGAAATGGTATGTAAATCAGAACAGGTACATTTTTAAATTGTAATTCCAGCCACACACACACGTGCATGCATGCTTTGGGTTAACATCCCTGTAGTGTTTGTTTTCATTTCACTTTCTGTCCCTGTGAGAATTGGAGTTTGAAAAAATTAGCTTGTTGTGGAAACAAGGATTTGTGATCAATCTCCAGTGGATTTTTCTCACTTCCTGTTGTCTCACCCCCATTCTTAACTATGAGTCATTTGTAAGTCGGATGTTTGCAACTTGGGAACTGGACTTCTCTTGGATATGTGAAGGGCCAGTCATATTAAGTCTGCAATTTACAGGCTTACACTTTAGATTTGGTGGTAGAGAAGCAATGGCTGATTGAAATACGTATAAAGAACAATTGAAATGAAATTATTGTATAGCTCAGTGCCAACCATTATGCTGACAGAAGAAAAGTTTGTCTGCACCTTTCTCTGAGGCAGACAGTGTGACTCAAGGCAGATAGAGGATGACTCACTCAAGGCAACCATTTATTAATAACTAGCTTTTGTACTCTGCATTGTCTGGATATGAACTTTCTGATAGTAATTATTCGAAATGCTCATTGTTTGCATAAGAATTTTATGACTGCTTGTTTATTTATTTATTTATCGAGTCATCAGCAACCAGTCAATTATATTACATTTCTAACAGAACAAAGCAAACAAACAGACAAAATACAAAAATACAAAATACAGAATACAAAATTTGTGAGTTTGGTAGTTGATTAGATGTCCTTTGACCAGTATCTGTCCACTTGGAGTGCTTCTGGTGTTGCTGCAAGAAGGTCCTCCATGGTGCATGTGGCAGGGCTCAGGTTGCATTGAAGCAGGTGGTCAGTGGTTTGCTCCTCTCCACACTCGCATGTTGTGGATTCCACTTTGTAGCCCCATTTCTGAAGGTTGGCTCTGCATCTCGTGGTGCCAGAGCGCAGTCTGTTCAGCGCCTTCCAAGTTGCCCCGTCCTCTGGGTGCCCAGGAGGGAGTCTCTCATTTGGTATCAGCCATTGGTTGGGGTTCTGGGTTTGAGCCTGCCACTTTTGGACTCTCGCTTGCTGAGGTGGTCCAGCGAGTGTCTCCGTAGATCTTAGAAAACTATTTCTAGATTTAAGTCGTTGACGTGCTGGCTGATACTCAAACAAGGGATGAGCTGGAGATGTCTCTGCCTTGGTCCTTTCACTATTGGCTGCTACTTCCCGGCGGATGTCAGGTGGTGCAATGCCGGCTAAGCAGTGTAATTTCTCCAGTGGTGTAGGGCGCAGACACCCTGTGATAATGCGGCATGTCTCATTAAGAGCCACATTAACTGTTTTAGTGTGGTGAAATGTGTTCCACACTGGGCATGCATACTCAGCAGCAGAGTAGCACAGCGCAAGGGCAGATGTCTTCACTGTATCTGGTTGTGATCCCCAGGTTGTGCCAGTCAGCTTTCGTATGACATTGTTTCTAGCACCCACTTTTTGCTTGATGACTGTTAAGTGATACATTTTTCAGGTTTTCTTACTGTTTATATTCAGTTAATGAACCATCTAGGACAGGCACCCTCAACCTGTGGCCCTTCAGCTGTTTGGGCCTTCAACTTCCAGAATTCCTGACAATTGAACAAGCTCGTTAGGCCTTCTGGGAGTTGGAGGCCCAAACAACTGGAGGGCCACATTTTGAAGATGATGTAGGAGCTTAAGATCGGCTGGGGAGGCCCTGCACTCGGTCCTGTCTTCTTTGGTGGGGACAAGAGACAGGGCCTTCTCAGTGGTGGCTGCTCAGCTATGGAACTCTCTCCCTAGGGATATTAGATCAGCCTCTTCCCTCCTCACCTTCAGAAGGAAAGTAAAAACCTGGCTTTTTGAACAAGCCTTTGGAAACACGGTGCAATAGACAAACACAGAACTATGTGAAACTGAATTGTGGAACAGCTCAGACAATATTTTTGGACAACAAGACCAACACTGAAGGCATTGGTTTTACAGGTTTTTAATGGTTATATTATATGGATCTTACAAATTGGTTTAAAATGTTTTAATTGTATATTGTTTTGGCTTCAAATGGCTGCCTGGTGGTAAGCCTTCAAGTTTGAGAAAGGCAGAATAGAAATATTGTAAATAAATAAATAAATAAATAGACGTGCCATTTTTTACATTAATGTGATTTCTTAAGAAGTAAAAATCTTACATACGTGTGATTAATTGATATTGAAGCTGCCCTTTTTATTTGCACAATAATTTACCTATTAATAGCTTTACTTGGAAAGTGAGATGCTAAAAATCAAACCTGTGGACCTATTTTAATTTTGGCCCCTTACTATTGCCAAGTTGTGCAGGCCTGGTTTAAAAGGTCAAGGCTTCTTCTGAGACACTGACTTACTTGGGTGGAAATAACTCAATGACTTGGTGCATTGAGAGCAGTAGTGGGTGAAGTAAGGCCCCTTCTCTGGGATCCCAACACTTACGGCGTTCTTCGTCTTACACAGGATTTTATTTGCAAATAATGGCGGCTGAGCTATAATGCTCTCTCCCCTTCACAACAAAGTCGGTTATTATAGTTGATTGTTGCTTCAGTATGCATACATTCGATGACTTCACGGGTTCTTGCAAACTAGTTTGGATTTTGTTCTTTGCGAAGGTCCCAAAGGCACCCAACTGAAATTCCAACTGGTTCAACGGGTGGCGACCAGGTTGTTAACTGGTGCTCCTTACAGAGAGAGGTCAACCCTCCTGTTTAAGGAGCTCCGTTGGCTGCCGTTTACCTACCGAACCCAATTCAAGGTGCAGGTGCTTACCTACAAAGCCCTAAACGGTTTAGGACCTGCCTACCTGCGTGACCGCATCTCTGTTTACGAACCCACGCGCTCCTTTCGTTCATCCGGAGAGGCCCTGCTCGCGATCCCACCTGCGTCACAGGCGTGTTTGGTGGGGATGAGGGACAGGGCCTTCTCTGTGGTTGCCCCCCGACTCTGGAACACCCTCCCCAAAGACATTAGACAAGCACCCACATTGGCAGTCTTTAGGAAGAATCTGAAGACCTGGCTATTCCGATGTGCCTTTCCGGAATAGGATAACCTCCAGCACTACATCCCAGAAGCACTTTATTAGAGTTTAAGACTCTCTGCACATTGCACTTGCCCAGAAATCCAACATACCTCCTGCCACACACAGCACTTTTTAACCTGTACCCATCACTGGCCCGGCCATGGTTTTTATTGCGTAATGATGTAATGTTTTGTTGTTGCTTATGTTTTTAATTTGCTTTAAATTGTATTGTTTTTGTTTTGCTGTTGTTGTGTTGAGGCCTTGGCCTTTGTAAGCCGCATCGAGTCCTGCGGGAGATGCTAGCGGGGTACAAATAAAGTATAATAATAATAATAATAATAATAATAATAATAATAATAATAATAACTGTCCTTAAATATATATCTCTTTTTTTATAGGTTGTCTTGGAGACGGAGATCACAAACAAGTCCGCATTGAAACTTTATGAAAACCTTGGCTTTGTACGAGACAAGAGGCTGTTCAGATACTATTTAAACGGAGTTGATGCACTGCGTCTTAAACTGTGGCTGCGTTAACCGGAGGACTCTTCTTCCCAGCCAACATGGCAGCGGCGTCCTTTGCATGCAATGCAATTTATGTGGAATTGCTTTGCAAGTGGACTTAACTTCCATGCAGCTCTTCTCTGTGAGTGTCTCATCGACCGTCGCCCCTAAATCGTTGCACTGTGTGGCATGGCGCATCTTGTTCTGAATTTACGAGCGGTTGTTTCAGACTCCAGATCCTCTTGGTAACCAAGAAGATGTGCCACTAGGTAGTCAAGATACTATCTCTTCATTTGCAAGTCTACTGACTCCTGTTATATAAATGGTGAACATTTTATCTAAGAACCTGTGTATGTGGAACACAACTTTCTTTTGGTTCAAGAGAGAGAGAAAAGCCAATGTAGATTGTAAAATTCTATAAGTATACTAACATTTCATACAAAAACTCACCATAGTTTTCTTTTTTTCTGGGGAAAATGAAAACAGCTTCAACTTTAGGTTTTATTTTTCAATATTGAACTTTCCATTCTTAAATATTGGTACCTCAGTGATTAGTGGATGAAAAAAATGTATTGTAGGGTGGGGTGTGTGTTACATCGAGTAACGGTAACAATTACATTGCGTCTGCCAGTGCCTGTATAGAAACGTATATTTGTCTCCACCGCTAATTTTTGAGTGCATGCTTTTTTTTCTCTTGATTTTATTTTTTTGTCTTTGCAAGAATGGCTTTTATTTAAATTCTGGATTTGATAATAAATTATTTCATTTATAATTTGGATACTTCTCCCACGTGGGGGTCTTTACGAAGCCCTTCTCTTCAAGCAAGAATGGTAAGCTATCTTTCTATCAAGAGACAAACAAAAACCATGAGTAGCTGCTAAAAGGGAGTCTGATGCACTTTTTCCTTTAAAGAGAGTGAGGGATCTTTTTTTGAACAAATTAATGTAAATCGTTTTGATTTTTCAAAATTATCGCCAGAATAGTACACCCATTATTTGAAAGCAGTTGGAACAACCTAGTGTTCATATGGATTCATGTTGTGTTGCTTCCATACTCTAAAAACGTCCCATCCTTTCATTTTTTATCTTGAAAGCACATTTCCAAGTGCTTCATCATGTGCTTTCTCTCCATTTCCTCTTAAAGTTTTTCATAAGCCAAAACCCTTGCTGTTTTAATTTTCTCCTACCTTTTTTTTTTTTGGCAGAAGAATATCCAAAGTCTGGATTTGGAACATTACCCCTTTTTAAAATGGGCTCCATGGGCTTGTTCAAACTTAGCATCCTTTTTTCAGCAGTTACACAGTGTGTACTTCTGTCTGTCAGTGCAATATGTAAAGCAAATCACTTCTTTTTGGCAGTTCAGCAATGACAGCATTGGTAAATAATAAATATATATATATATGAGCAAAGCATAAAAATGACCCTAGATGACTCATGGGGAAAAAACGCTTCCTTCTATTGAGAGAAAAATCTTCAGAATTCAACTTTTGCCTTACTATGTTGTATGTTAAGGATTCAACCTGTCATTTTGTAATATGGTTCGAGTTACTGTACATTTGAGAGGACCTGGACCTCCAGTCGCCCTTTGAAGAAAAAAAGACCCGTTCTGGACAGCTTAGTAAGTTTAAAGGAAGGCCATCCTTATTTTGCACAGACTGAGCATTTCCCCCACTATGTATAAGTTGTGAATTGTATTTGGGACAAATAAAGGATTTTAATTTAAAACTGGCACTTCTCTCCCAATACAATTTGTATGGCTCACCACCTCTTCTCTCTTTGCTGAATTGGTGCCTGAGTTGGAACATTTTACAGCTCAGAAGACTATTTCCAGAACCACCTGCCATCTCCGTACCAGCACCTGGCCTCTTGCTTTCCACCAGGTAACTCAGTCCTTGCCATTACATCTGGGTGGGCCTCTTGTGACTCTCTGTATGCTTTTGAACTGTAAATCCCATGAGCTAGTGATGAGAGATGATTGGAACTGCAGTCCCAACAACACTTGGAGGACTGCACCCACTTTAAGTAAGCTAGAGCAGTGGTTCTCAACCTTTTGTCCTCCAGGTTCCTAACAGCTGGTGAGCTGGCTGGGATTTCTGGGAGTTGTAAGTCCAAAACACCCGGAGGACCAAAGGTTGAGAACTATTGAGCTAGAGCAGTTGTTCTCAACCTGTGGGTCTCCAGGTGTTTTGGCCTACAACTCCCAGAAATCCCAGCCAGTTTACCAGTTCTTAGGATTTCTGGGAATTGAAGGCCAAAACATCTGAGGACCCACAGATTGAGAACCACTGAGCTAGAGTATCCCAATTTGACTGTCTCAAGTAAAAAGAGGGAAAGCACTGTGATGACACACACACACACACACACACACATATATGTCATAAAATAGCAGTAAATAATGCAGTAAAGATGTTGAGCTGGGAAACGCTAAATCTACTGTATTATTTATTATTTATTTATTTATTTATTTACTTCTTTTGTATACCGCAAATATCAGCCTAAAAAGGCGACTCGAAGCGGTTTAGCTGTAGCTGTGTGTGCCTCCACAGAAAAGGCAAGGAAAACAGCAGCTGCCTCAAATTTCTTATTAAGCAAAAACAAACAGGAAAACAGAGGGAAAGACAAGATAAACCTGTCGAAATCCGTCTGTTCCAACAATTTTCTTGGTCCTCCAGGCAATTCTGTGGTATTTTTTCTGCCAGAAGTAACCATAGGGTATCACAGGAGGACCTAGGGAAGATGCTGTTTAGAAATCTTCTAGGCCCTCTAGCAAGACAGTATAATAACGTCCAGGGATATGTTGCTCATTTCAATAGAATTTGCTACTACCTACAGTTTCCTGTTTCCAAGGTATGCTCAGAAACGTATCCCTTGCTGCTATGGGAGTCAGGCTTGTATATGTTTGAACATAAAAATAGAAATAATAAAAGCAATAGCTAGTAAAAGGACAAACCATCCATGGATGAATTGTGGAAGTCTGTAGGTGGCCTCTAGAAGGTACAAAATGTTTTTTGCTTACTTAAGCAAGTCTTGCCTGAGCTGCTGGTCTCATTTCTGATATTAGTCCAGCTAGAGTGCATCCATTCAGTCAGTTGGATTTACCTTTATGTTAGCTCACCATTCAACAATTACTGTCCTTGGAGTAATAGTATCTAGCACATGTGTGTATAGTTTGCTTAAAATACAAAGTTGACCAAAAGAAGCTGAATTGCTCTTCCATTTTGCGATGTAGGAACCTATTCCCCCTCTTTTCCGTGGTATTCCTGCCTCTGGTATCAAATTTTCTGCTGCTGTGGTTTATTATGGAAGACTACGTTAATTGCATGAGATCACCCTAAACACATTTACAATCTCTAATTCGGTTCACAATGCCTCTACTGTCAGCCTAGCCTGCTGTTAAAAATGGGTCAGCCCAAACAGTATGTTAAATGAGTAGCATTTAATGCTGAGAGAGGTGCTTTCGTATTCATAACTATATTGGGGGGATAATCTGGACTGGACTGGACCCATGGTGCGCAAGGAGAAATGGTTTCAACCTCTCCTCAGCCTCCCTTCCCATTTTTAAGCCCCTAATGTGGGGTCAGATTGGATTGAGACCCTATGTTTCTCTACTTTTCTGATGCCCTCATGTTGTGGTGACCCTCAACCATAAAATTATTTTCATTGCTACTTCATAACTTGTTTTGCTACAGAAAAGAAGAAGAAAAAGATATACAAAAGAGTATGCAAGTTTACAGAATGGTATACAGTCAGCGCTCGTTAAACATAAGAAAATGTTCAATGACAGGCCGAGCTTCTCATATGCTTCTGTGAAGGTGTTTAGAGTGGCTTGTAGGTTGTTTTCTGAATGCGCACAGACGATGTTGTCATCAGCACATTGGAGTTCTATAACAGATGTTGTTGTGACCTTGGTTTTGGCTTTCAGTCTGCTGAAGTTAAGTAGCTTGCCATCTGTCCAATAGATGATTTCCACTCCGATGGGAAGCTTCCCATCAACAAGATGAAGTATCATAGTGATGAAGATGGAAAATAAGGTTGGGGCAATAACACATCCTTGTTTGACACCTGATTCCACCTTAAATGACCATACAGCCCAGAAATCTCACCGCAACCCTATGCTTACAAAATTTAAATGTGGCTAATATGATAGGATTTGGGTTTTGAGTCACTGGGTCTTAACAATATATGGTTAATACGATAGGATTTGGTTTTTGATTATTGCCCCCATTCATCTTAAGTATTCTCCCCATTCTTCAAGACGTACATCTTGCCATGCTGTTGTTAATCCAATCTCAGTTAACAGAAGATGTAAAATGCATTAAGAAATGAACATCCAAACCATTATTGAAGATTGTCGAAAGTTTTCATGGCCAGAATCACTGGGTTGTAAGTTTTTTTCGGGCTGTATGGTCTGAGGTGGAGTATCCATTGGTCTGTAGAGCCCAGTTGAGGTGGTTCAGTTCATCTTGAAGGAGGTGGGGTTCACAGATTCTTTTTGCACGGTCTGCCAAGGCTTTAATCTTAACCATCTTAACAGCATCCACCCAAACATCCAGTTCACCATGGAAAAAGAAAACGAAGGAAGACTGCCTTTTCTAGATGCCCTAGTTATCCACAAACCAGATCAACAATTGGGTCACACCGTCTACAGAAAACCCACACACACAGATAGATATCTACATAAAAACTCCAACCATCACCCAAGTCAAAAAAGAAGCACCATTAAAGCCTTGGCAGACCGTGCAAAAAGAATCTGCGAAGCCCACCTCCTCCAAGATGAACGGAACCACCTCAACTGGGCTCTCCAGGCCAATGGAGACTCCACCTCAGACATCAGAAGAGCTGCAAGACCAAGAACAAGCCACGAGAGTCAAGACAAAGATCCACCCAGAGGAAAAGTGTTCTTGCCATACATCAAGGGAACCACTGACCGCATAGGGAAGCTGATGAGGAAACACAACATACAAACTATCTACAGACCCACCAAGAAAATCCAACAAATGATATTCAGCAAAGGACAAGAGGGATCCTCTCACTTCTGCAGGAGTCCACCTTGTACACTTGTCCACACCAGCTGTGTACAAGTCTACAGAGGGACCACCAAACGCAGCAGCATTGCCTAAACACGAATCAAGGAACATGAAAGGCACTGCAGACTACTTCAACCAGAGAAGTCAGCCATAGCAGAGCACCTGATGAACCAGCCTGGACACAGCATATTATTTGAGAACACAGAAATGCTGGACCACTCCAACAACCACCATGTCAACTACACAGAGAAGCCATTGAAATCCACAAGCATGTGGACAATTTCAACAGAAAGGAGGAAACCATAAAAATGAACAAAATCTGGCTACCAGTATTAAAAAACTCTAAAATTACAACAGCAAAACAGCAGAGAGGAAACAAGGCAGGGACATCTAATTACCTCTCAACAAAAGTTTGCCCCAGGCACAGTCAGGCCATTGTATGCTAATCAAGGTGGTCAGTTGAAACATTCACACCTAGCTCCAGCAGAGAAGAGTCCTTTGTCTCACCCTGGTCATTCCACAGATATATAAACCCTTTTGCCTAGTTCCAACAGACCTCACTACCTCTGAGGATGCTTGCCATAGATGCAGGCGAAATGTCAGGAGAGAATGCCTCTAGACCATGGCCATATAGCCCTTGGGGCTGAGAATTGCGGTATATAAGCGCAGTAAATAAATAAATAAATAAATAAATAAATAAATAAATAAATAAAAACCTACAACAACCCATTATTGAGGACTTGGCTACTTGGTCACTTATACAACATGTAGTTTCAATTCAAGTGGCAGCCCCCGGAAAGTGCTTTGAATGAATCTACCGACTGGCTATGGCCATATGCCGTTCCAACTTTTTCCCTGTAAACAACTTCCCTTTGAACACACGGTGCCCATCTTAAATATCATCACTCTCAGCAACTTTCCACAGCTATCTCATTTGATATCTTCTGTTTCTCTGAGTGCAGAGAAACGTATCTCACCTCACCTCCAATTCCCTGAATGGTGCTCTCTGCAGAAACCTTTAGAAAAATTCAGCTGAATACATAAAATAGTATTTGAGAGTAAAGAACATCTCCAGCCCTTGGAGGTGGCTGATGTAGGCAGAAGTGAAAGGTTTCAGGTTTACCGAAAGGTCAACCAAATCCCAGATATAAAAATTATCTGTCTAGTTACACACTGCAAACCCATTCTCCTAGACAGCGGGAATAGATCAGAATAATCCCCCTAAATAGTGTTATAATAACACAGATTGTACTATCTGCTTATTGCACCACCTCATAGACAACTCCTTTGAGTCTCATTTAAGAGAGGAAAGTGGGATATAAATACATTATTGATGGTGGTGGTGATTATGATAATGATACCTGCACTTTGCCCTCCCTGGCCCATGTCCTGCCCTTGTTGGACTGGAAGGAACGGCACAATTTTGAGATTTGGCTAGTTATTTTGGATATATCTCTTATGTTTTTATAACTGCCCAGTTGCACAGTTAAACTTTTCTGGGTTCCTGTGCACATATTCATTTCCCCGTACCTCTCATCATCACAATAAATATTAATTCACTGTCAACCCGAGTGGGTGACAATTGCAAATACAAGCCTTATGCCACTGGTAATGCAGTATCTGTGCCAAAAATGTCAATGGGATTTTGGGCTGCATAAATGGGTGCACAGTGTCTAGATCCAGGGAAGTCATGCTACCCCTCTATTCTATTCTGCCTTGGTCAAACCACATTTGGAATCCCACTCTGTCCAATTCTGGGGGCCACAATTGAAGCACAATGTTGTGCCCAGAGGAGGGTGACTCAAGTGTCTGGAGAACAAGCCCAATGAGGAGCAGCTTCAAGAACTGTGTCACAAGAAATTCAATGTGCAGATTTGATAAATGTGAATTTAATATGATGTGTGGGAATGAATGGAAGGATGTGTGGTTGGAGTTAATAATTTTGGAAACACCAGTATAATATTAAGGCCTGCAATGACTAACTACCTGCTTGCTGGAATGTAGATAAAACCTGCTAATGAGATCTGGAAAGTAATATCTGATAAGAACGGGACAGTAATAGAGGAAATGTTTGCAACCTTCCTTATATTAAGAAGGAAGTCAACACAAGCCTTGTGTTTGTCAACACCAATCAAGAAGATAAACATCTGGTCAGGGAATGGAGATGGAGCCAGGATGGAAGTTGTCTATTATTAATTTACAACTTTGGGACTACATCAACAGAATATTCCTATAAAAGACTCAGTCTAATAATGCTCAAAGTGTGACAGACAGAGATGCTGTTCACCTGCTATGCTCTGCTCCATGGGAAGGAGAGAGATAATGTACCTACCTATGGCTAGTGGCAGATTTGCATGGGAGCAGTCTGGTCACTTTGGGGCTTCTTTCTCAAGGGAAGAGGAAGAAGTGCACTTTTGTAGTCTTAAATTCTGTGTAGGGAGTCAGGTTCTGCTGTATGGAAAACAGAGATCTCGTCCCTGGCATTGTTCTTAGGGAAAGGATGCATTTTGGTGTTTTGAAGTTATGAATTTATGGAAGTTTTGTAACTATACGCTGGCAGGCTGCAGGAAAGCAGGATCTGACCTAACAAGTGCTTCTCCAAGGAGGGAGAAAAATGTTTAACCTGCAGAAGAGAAGGCTGAGAGGGGATATGATGAGGGCCATGTCATAGATGTGAGGGGAAGTCATAGGGAAGGGGGAAGAGGCTTGTTTTCTTCCCTGGAGACTAAGGTGCAGAGCAATGGCTTCAAACTACAGGAAAGGAGATTTCCCTGAACATGAGGAAGAACTTCCCAACAATGAGAGCTTTCAGTAGTGGAACTCTCTGCCTTGGAGGGCGGTAGAGGCTCCTTCTTTGGAGGCTTTTAAACAGAGGCTGGATGGCCATCTGTCGGGGGTGCTTTGAATGCAATTTTCCTGTTTCTTAGCTGAAAGAGGTTGAACTGGATGGCCCATGAGGTCTCTTCCAACTCTATGATTCTATGAAACATGATTTTGGGGTTCTAAATGGTGACATTAATAATTATCCATTTGAATCCAGCATGCGGCCATCTGTCAAGGGTGATTTGAATGCAATATTCCTGCTTCTTGGCAGGGGGTTGGACTGGATGGCCCATGAGGTCTCTTCCAACTCTTTGATTCTATGATTCTATGCCACCTCACATTAAAATATGGGTCCACATTCAGAAGCTAATCCTTGGTAACAATTCAATGCTGTCAGCATATGTGTGAAAGTAGGTAAACACAGGAAGCAGTAACGTTTCCTAAAATGTCTCTGTAGTATGAAGGAAAAGTATATCCAACTAATGAAAAACCAGAACAGCACCAGGAAGGACTGTGAAATTGCACAGTAACATTTAATTTTCCAAAAGAATTAGAAAAGGGAAGCGCAAATGAACAAAATGGGGAAGTAATTATGTTGTAGCCAGAGGTTATCTCTGTCTTCTCTCCAGAAGTTTAATTCCCACTGCTTGGGAATGGGAAAATGGCACCTTGAACACCATGTGCATTCATCCAGCATTGGAGCAGCAGCGCTAGTTACTAGAGATAGATAGGTTCGTTCGGATATGGCGGAACTCGTAATAAAATTGGAAATTTTAGCTTTCCGAAGGGCTTCCGACTCTTTGTTTGAAGCTAGAAGTCCCTTATAGTTTTGAACCACATTGCGCTCTTTTGCTTTGGAATGAGGAAGTGAGTCAAAAGAACAATGAAGCATTCTTTCTTCAACCTAGCCTTCTGGAAGGGCAAAGGAGGAAGTTTTGGAGAGTTCCAACTATTTTAAGGAAAAATTCAGACATGACTTCCGAAGTGCCCCTAGATACAAAACGAGTTTTGAACCATTTTTTTAATCAACCAAGCCTACTAGTTACCTATCACACTATTGTCAACACCAGAACGACATGCTTTTAGGAGCCCATTCACAGATTTCTCCCATGAGTTAAAAGGCACAGCTGGCTTAAACCCACTCACAGGCTGTTGAAAAAATGCATAAACATTTGTCAAAACAATTTAAGAGTTGCCTGCAAATCGTGTCACAAGGACTGTAACTTTTGCACGGTTTGGATATCCTGTCTGTGCAATCATTTTGGTCATCTAAACCATTTAGCCTCAAGACTTTTCATCTGATGTCTTCCTTCCTTCAGTAGGTGTTCAGTTACTAATGTCCCGTACAAAGGAAGAAAACAGTTCCTCAAGCTTAGAATTAGGTACTTATTTATTGATAGGCTGAAATGGAACCCGGTTTGTCCTTCCACTGCTTTCCATTTAACCTCTTTCTTCCAGCTATTCTACTAATCTATTTGGTGCACGCACACACATCCCAAAAAAGCCAATGCAGCATCAATAGGAGTCTAGTGTCCAGATTGAGGAAAGTAATAATCTCCCTCTATTCTTCAGATCACACATGGAATTATCCTGTGTGCAGGTATGGGAACTGCAATTCAGTAGGATATGAATAAGATGAAATGTGTCTAGAACCATGGTTCCCAAACTTATTTTGAGCAGGGACCAGTTGACCAGGGACCACCTTGACCAGGGACCACCCTCCAACATTAGTACCAAAAGGGGTACAAATCCGTTTTTGGTCAACTTTAGATTTGGTTTGGTTATTTGGGATGCTGATTCAGAAAATTGCATTGGATAGACAACATCAGCTCTAGTTTCTGGTACAGAACATATGCCATCCAATAGTCACCACCTGCTCGCCCACAGAAAACCATATTTAATAAGCCTGGGCACTACAAGAGGGTTTTGCAAGATCAGTTGCTCTCGTTGCAACGGTGTAGTAATGGTGAGGCCATATTTCAGTTCTTGCAGACCACAGACCACAGGTTGGGAACCACCGGTCTAGAGACGGGTGACCAAAATATAATCAAAGGTCAGGAAACCTTGGCTAGCTGGGTATGTTTAACCTAGAAAAGAGAAGGTTAAGAGCTGTTTAGCAATTGAGCGTCCAATAGTCTCCTTCTCTGGAGGTTTTCCAGCACAAGCAGAATGGGTTGTTGTAGGTTTTTCCGGGTTATATGGCCATGTTCTAGAGGCATTTTTTCCTGACGTTTCGCCTGCATCTATGGTAAGCATCCTCAGAGGTAGTGAGGTCTGTTGGAACTAGGAAAAAGGGTTTATATATCTGTGGAATGACCAGGGTGGGACAAAGGACTCTTGTCTGCTGGAGCTAGGTGTGAATGTTTCAACTGACCACCTTAATTAGCATTTGATGGCTTGGCAGTGCCTGGGGGAATATTTTGTTGAGAGGTGATTAGATGTACCTGATTGTTTACTCTTTGTTGTTTTGCTGTTGTAATTTTAGAGGTTTTTTTTAATACTGGTAGCCAGATTTTGTTCATTTTCATGTCCTTCCTGTTGAAATTGTCCACATGCTTGTGGATTTCAATGGCTTAAGACTCTCTAAATCCATGGCTAGAATAGTTGTGGAGGTTGGTTGGTGCTGGTGTTCCCCACCCTTCTCATTCCTACGAGTCTCATCAATTGTTTGCAGGCCAAGCTTCTGCACCACATCTTCCGATCAGAACTCTTTATCAAAAAACTCATCAAAAAGAGCGATCCTTTCCGTTTTAGTTCTCACTAAAGCGGGTCTCCGGCAAGGATGATTCCAGTTGTCAGAGTCACTGCTTGACGTATCTGAGGACGACTCTCTTCTTGCATGCTGGTTCCACAGCCACGCTTCCACTTTCCCCCTCTGGCTGAGATGGACCTCAGATGGCCCAGGCTCTTTCAAAAGCTCTCCACTCCAATAATCACCTAAGGAAAAGAAGCAATCGCCAGTCACTGTGATGAATTTACTATATTACTTTTCTTGGATTAGCCAACTTCTCCAGCTTTGCCCAGAGTGTCAATTTCATTAGAGTTGGGCACTAGAAGTTTACCCATTTCCAGGTGATGAAGGATGGTAGGCATAACACTGGTCAACAGATATTTTGGTGCCTCAAATCTTAGACCTGTTTCTGGGAATATTTGACCTGCTGATTCCAATAATAATAATAATAATAATAACAACAACAACAACAACAACATCTGCCTGCAACAAAGAACTGGTGGGATCACAAGCCGGAAAAGGTTACAGGGAATGAACACGCCAAACTCCTCTGGGACTTCCGGATTCAGACAGACAAGAGTTCTGGAGCATAATACTCCTGACCTCACAATTGTGTTAAAAAACAAAGTATGGATTGTCGATGTCGCAATCCCAGGTGACAGCAGGATTGCAGAGAAACAACAGGAAAAGCTGACACAATATGAGGATTTAAAGATCGAACTGCAAAGACTCTGGCACAAACCAGTAAAGGTGGTCCCAGTGGTGATGGGCACACTGGGTGCAGTGCCTAAAGACCTTGGCCTGCACTTAAACACAATAGGCGCTGACAAAATTACCATCTGCCAGCTGCAAAAGGCCACCTTGCTGGGATCTGCATGCATTATTTGCCGATACATCACACAGTTCTAGACACTTGGGAAATGTCTGACATATGATCCAATTCAACAGCCAGTAGAGTGTCTACTGTGAACTCATCTTGTTGTGTTTCAAATAATAATAATAATAATAATAATAATAATAATAATAATAATAATAAACAACTTTATTTCTATACTGCTCCATCTCCCCGAGGGGACTCAGGGCAGTTTACAACAGAAAATTGGCAAACATTCAGTGCCGGCATAACATAACAAACAGATCAAATCATAAACAATAAAATAAACAACATCAGGTATACTTATAGAACAACTCAAAATAACAAATTTAGAAATTTAAATATATAAACCAGACATTTAGGACATGTTTACTACTAGATCTAATAACAGCAAACAGTTAAAACATTAAAAGTAAAAAGGCATTTACAGGTTAACAGGGCTGAGGTGGTGTCCGAGTCAAGAGTGTTTAAGGTGCTGGCTGAATTAAAATTATTATACTGCACAATTCCACAAGCTAAAAAGGACCTTATATGAGTCTAGTTACCATCCCCCTCCCACACCCGCCTCCCAATTTCCAATTTCCTTCCCATAACATCACTAGTGACCTCACTACCTCTGAGGATGCTTGCCATAGACGCAGGCGAAACGTCAGGAGAGAATGCCTCTAGAACATGGCCATATAGCCCGAAAAAACCTACAAGAACCCAGTGATTCCGGCCATGAAAGCCTTTGACAATACAAAGATGAAGTACTTTGGCCACATCATGAGAAGACAGGAAAGCTTGGATAAGACAATGATGATTGGGAAAATGGAAAGAGAAAGGAAGAGGGGCCGACCACGGGCAAGATGGATGGATGGTATCCTTGAAGTGACTGGCTTGACTTTGGAGGAGCTGGGTGTGGCCACGGCTGAGAAGGAACTCTACCGTGGGCTAGAGCAGGAGGTCACCAAGAATCGGAAGTGACTGAACAAATAAACAACAACAAAAAGATTTTTTTTGATGGAACCCCTACCATGCTTTTGTGGAATCCTAGGGTTCTGTGGAAAACAGTTTGGGAACTTCTGACTTAAAGATTCCTATTATTATTATTATTATTATTATTATTATTATTATTATTATTATTATTTTGAAACACCACAATATGAGTCCACAGCAGACACTCTGCTGTTGAATTGGATCACACGTCGGACACTTCCCCTGTGTCTAGGACTGTGTGATGTATCGGCGAATAATGCATAGAGATCCCAGTAAGGTGGTCTTCTGCAGCTGGCAGATGGTAATTTCGTCAGCGCCGATTGTGTTTAAGTGCAGGCCAAGGTCTTTAGGCACTGCATCCAGTGTGCCGATCACCACTGGGACCACCTTGACTGGCTTGTGCCAGAGTCTTTGCAGTTCGATCTTTAAATCCTCATATCATGTCAGCTTTTCCAGTTGTTTCCCTTCAATCCTGCTGTCACCTGGGATTGCAACATCGACAACCCATACTTTGTTTTTTAACACGATTGTGAGGTCAGGAGTATTGTGCTCCAAAACTCTGTCTGTCTGAATCCGGAAGTCCCAGAGTATCTTGACTGTAACTTTTTCCGGCTTGTGATCCCACCAGTTCTTTGTCGCAGGCAGATGGTATTTGTGGCACAAGTTCCAATGAATCATCTGAGCAATGGTGTTGTGCCTCTGCTTGTAGTCTGTCTGCGTGATCTTCTTCCGGCAGCTGAGGATGTGATCTATTGTTTCATTTGCTTCCTTGCAGAGACTACATTTGGGATCTTTCACCAACATTTCAATTCAGGCATTATTATTATTATTATTATTATTATTATTATTATTATTACCCCACTTGGTCTTCCCGAAGAGGACTTAATATGTTCCTAGAGGGAACATACTGCCTACCTTGGTTTCTTTTGAAGGTTTGGCCAAACAGGTCTTCATCATCCGAGCTGTTATTTCTCCGCATGGGTTCCAGGACCCCTCTCCTGTCAAGATCCCTTGTTTGGAGCTTATGAATTCGGGCTTCTTCGCGCAGGCGTCTCTTCAGTTCTTCCTGGGTTTGAAAAGAAAGATGCTCATTGTGGTATGCACAGTAATCATCTGAGTCAACACTGTGGCAACAGTTATCCCTACTCGCCAGGGGAACTTGGGATAAGTAGTTCAATCGAAACTCCCAGTATTCTCCACACATTGCAGCTGGGATTTTGCTGGTTTATTTTAATAGGTGTAAGTATCTCTATGTACGTGGCTGGACATTTTTGCCTAAGGCAGAGTGCCTATATTCAGTTCTAGGTTGCAAAAGTGGAATTGCACATAGATGAGCATTGCACATGGAAAAAATACTGTCAAAATCATGCAGTAGATTGGCTATAAGGTTGCCATGAAAAGTTGGAAACAACTTGAAGGCACACAACACCAAAAAAGAAGAATCATAGAATCATAGAATCAAAGAGTTGGAAGAGACCTGATGGGCCATCCAGTCCAACCCCATTCTGCCAAGAAGCAGGAATATTGCATTCAAATCACCCCTGACAGATGGCCATCCAGCCTCTGTTTAAAAGCTTCCAAAGAAGGAGCCTCCACCACACTCAGGGGCAGAGAGTTCCACTGCTGAACGGCTCTCACAGTCAGGAAGTTCTTCCTCACATTCAGATGGAATCTCCTCTCTTGTAGTTTGAAGCCATTGTTCCGCATCCTAGTCTCCAGGGAAGCAGAAAACAAGCTTGCTCCCTCCTCCCTGTGGCTCCCTCTCACATATTTATACATGGCTATCATATCTCCTCTCAGCCTTCTCTTCTTCAGGCTAAACATGCTCAGCTCCTTAAGCCGCTCCTCATAGGGCTTGTTCTCCAGACCCTTGATCATTTTAGTCACCCTCCTCTGGACACATTCCAGCTTGTCAATATCTCTCTTGAATTGTGGTGCCCAGAATTGGACACAATATTCCAGGTGTGGTCTCACCAAAGAAGCAACGAACGTCCCAACAAGATTCTAGCCCTTGATATTAAAACTGGCAGAAAAACTACAGTTTATTGTCGAAGGCTTTCATGGCCGGAAACCTCACTATCTCTGAGGATGCTTGCCATAGATGCAGGCGAAACGTCAGGAGAAAATGCCTCTAGAACATGGCCATATAGCCCGAAAAAACCTACAACAAAACTACAGTTGTCTTTATAGAATTACTAGAGCACAACACCACTTTCACTGCCATGGCTCAATGCTATGCTAGTCTGGGAGTAATAGTTTTTCACGGTCTGACGAAGAGTGCCGGTACCTCACCAAACTATAAATCCCAGGATATTCTATAATGTAGATCAGGCATGGGCCAACTTTGGCCCTCCAGGTGTTTAGGACGATTGTGGGAGTTGAAGTCCAAAACACCTGGAGGGCCAAAGTTGGCCCACGCCTGTTTTAGATGCTCCTTAGGTTAGCATTACATATGATGAACTTGCTTTAAAAAGGTAAAGGTTTCCCCTGACATTAAGTCTAGTCGTGTCTGACTCTGAGGGGTCGTGCTCATCTCCATTTCTAAGCCAAAGAGACGGCGTTGTCGGTAGACGCCTCCAAGGTCATGTGGCCAGCATGACTGCATGGAGCGCCATTACCTTCCTGCAGAAGCAGTACCTATTGATCTCACATTTGCATAGAGTCATAGAATCATAGAGTTGGAAGAGACCTCATTGGCCATCCAGTCCAACCCCATTCTGCCAAGAAGCAGGAAAATTGCATTCAAAGCACCTCCAACAGATGGCCATCCAGCCTCTGTTTAAAAGCCTCCAAAGAAGGAGCCTCCACCATACCTCAGGGCAGAGAGTTCCACTGCTGAACAGCTCTCACAGTCAGGAAGTTCTTCCTCATGTTCAGGTGGAATCTCCTTTCCTGTCATTTGAAGCCATTGCTCCAACTCCCAGTCTCCAAGGCAGCAGAAGACAAGCTTGTTCCCTCTTCCCTATTACTTCCCCTCAAATATTTGTACATGGCTTCATCATGTCTCCTCCCTGCCTTTTCTTCTGCAGGCTAAACATGCCCAGCTCTTTCAGCCACTCCTCATAGGGCTTGTTCTCCATTAATTTTAGTTGCCCTCGTCTGGACGCATTCCAGCTTGTCAACATCTCCCTTCAATTGTGGTGCCCAGAACTGGACACAGTATTTGTGCTGGTACAGCTGTACCAGGAGCTCCAGCTTCTTTTCCTTTTTATTGAGTGTTTGCATGTATTCCAAAGTTCCATGCATTTTGCAATAAGGTGGCTTCCCTTGGTTTGCAATAATAGGACCAATGACCCATCAATTATCATTATGTTCTTTAGTTCCACTCCTTTTTCTGGGTTAAGGAGGGAAAAGGGGGACCTCTAGTTCAGTTCACACAAAGAAGCCTTTCGTACAGGACGTGAATCAGTTCCACCTGTAGAAAGCTTCGTCTTTTACAGCTTTGCTGGGAGATCCAGTCCCACAGCTCTACAGAGAACTACAGCATAGCCTTTGTAGGAGAAATACAGCTCCACGGTTTTACAGACAGCCTTCGCTGGGAATTGAAAGCCTTATTTCCTCTTGGAAATCTACTAAGGGACTCTGTTTGGTAAGGACCACTCGCGGCAGCCATAAAGCAATTTGTAGGGGCCCACGCCAGCAGAACTTAAGTTAGATTGCCCAGGGAGGGGTCAAGGATTTCCCTTGTAGAAGGAAGAAACAGTTTATGAAGAAAGTTGCCTGTCCCTTGTGGACAAGATTTAAGCAAGCCACCCACCAGTTGATCCAAAGCCTTGAAGTATTTGTTTGATTTATTGAAGATTTAAGCAACAATAAAAACTTTGTTGAACTTTCTAAGTCTTTAAAAGAACTTTGTGTGGGGAAATCCGAAAGGCCGCTCAGCTGAGGCACCCCCGGCGTCCCATTGGGTATTTAGAAAACACGTCCTGTCTACAGACTCTTTCACAGGCTCAGCACGTGACAGCACAGTATTCTAGTATTCGAACAAAGCATGTTTTTGAACTGCTAGGTTAGCAGAAGCTGGGTCTAACAGTGGGAGCTCACCCTGCTCCTCAGATCTGAACCGCCAATCTTCCGGTCAGCAAATTCAGCAGCTCAGCAGTTTAACCCGCTGCACCACTTGCTTATTACTAAATAAATAAACTACTCACAAAAGTGTGTTCCAAATACAACTTGTTAGTCCTGAAATGGCAAAGCCTAGAGAAGACAATTATCAGCAAAGCCTAGAGAAGACAATTATGCTGGGGAAAGTGGAAGGCAAAAGGAAGAGGGGGCGACCAAGGGCAAGATTGATGTATGGCATCCTTGAAGTGACTGGACTGACCTTGAAGGAGCTGGGGGTGGTGACGGCCGACAGGGAGCTCTGGTGTGGACTGGTCCATGAGGTCACGAAGAGTTGGAGACGACTGAACGAATGAACAACAAGTCCTGAAAGCGCCCATGGGACTTCATAATTGTTTTTCCTCCAAAAGACGGATCAAGTAATTTATTTTAATTGCACACATATAAACAAATAGATTGGGTCCAACTGTTAGTCCTCACCTGAGTAGACTCAATGATTCAATGGGATTCATCTAAGCGTTGACTCACCATTCAACAATGGAACCAATGAGTCTTTTCCTTTTTTAAGAAAACCAACCAGATTCAGACTGCAATGCTTAAACTGCACTTTAATGGACTGAATACTGTGTGATGAATCAATTAAAAGGTATTTAATTAGACTTCAAACACATTTAGCTGATTCGTCAACTCAGCAGTGCAGGCCTCCTGAACATGGGAGTGAATATATTGATAAGCTTGGGAGTGATCCTGGACTCATCGCTGAGCCTGGAACCCCAGGTCTCAGCGGTGGCCGGGAGAGCTTTTGCACAATTAAAACTTGTGCACCAGTTGCGCCCGTTCCTTGGGAAGTCTGATCTGGCCACAGTGGTCCACGCTCTTGTTACATCCCGAATAGACTACTGCAACGCACTCTACGTGGGGTTGCCCTTGAAGACGGTTCGGAAACTTCAACTGGTCCAGCCAGACTGCTCACCGGGGCGACATACAGAGAGCACACCACCCCCCTGCTGTGTCAGCTCCACTGGCTGTCAGTTCAGTTCCGAGTCCAATTCAAGGTGCTGGTTTTGACCTACAAAACCCTGTACGGTTCCGGTCCAGCGTATCTGTCCGAACGTATCTCCCTCTACGTCCCACCACGGAATTTAAGATCATCTGAGGGGGGCCCTGCTCTCGACTCCACCGCTTTCCCAAGCGAGGCTGGTGGGGGTGAGGAGCAGGGCCTTCTCAGTGGTGGCCCCTCACCTGTGGAACTCGCTCCCAGTGGATATCAGGGCGTCGACATCACTCCTGTCCTTCAGGAGGAAGGTAAAGACGTGGTTGTGGGACCAGGCCTTCGGGCAATCTGCTAACTAGGTAAGGACAACCAGACAAATAGGACCGGCAGGACTGATAAATGTGGAAGGAAACTCTGAACTAAGAGAGAGCGAACATTGACCGGCAATAAGGAGTAATTGGTTTGTATCGGTTTGTATGAATTTTTTATTGGTTTTATTGGTTTTAGCGAGTATAGATGTAATGTATTGCTGCTGATTGTTAATTTGCGTTATTTTGTTTTACTGCTGTTGCACGTTACGGGCATCGAATTGTGCCTTGGATGTGTAAGCCGCCCTGAGTCCCCTTCGGGGTGAGAAGGGTGGGTAAAAGTAAACCAACCAAATAAATAAATAAATGAATGAATAAGGTTATAAACTCCAGCCCTATTATTTCGACATTTTACACAATGAAACCTTTTCTCTGGCTTGAGTCAAAGGCTGGCATCTCTCTTTCGACCTCGTTACCTCTTTTCTGATTTCTAGCATCTTCATCTGGAGCAAATACTGCCGCCTTCCCTGGGGATGGATAGCAGGGTGCCGTCCCTTCACTTGCTCCTTGAAAAGTAGAAGGAAGGAGAAAAGGCAGGAAAATAAGGTTAGAAAAGGAACTTATAACTTCATTGGTTTGTCATCTAATTCTGCCTTAGGGTACCATCTACACCAGGCATGGGCAAACTTCAGCCCGTCAGGTGTTTTGGACTACAACTCCTACAATTCCTAACTTACTTACTTACTTACTTACTTAACTTACTTAGGCGATCTCCTGTAGCCCTAGGACAGTGGTTCTCAACCTGGGGGTCGGGACCCCTGAAGGGGTCGCGAGGGGCTGTCTAAGGGGTCGCCAAAGACCATCACAGACAGTATTTTCTGTTGGTCATGGGAGTTCTGTGTGGGAAGTTTGGCCTAATTCTAACGTTGGTGGGCTTCAGAATGCTCTTTGGTAGTAGGTGAACTATACATCCCAGCAACTACAACTCCCCAATGTCAAGGTCTATTTTCCCCGAACTTCACCAGTGTTCATATTTGGGCATATTGAATATTCGTGCTAAGTTTGACCCAGATCCATCATTGTTTGAGTCCGCAGTGCTCTCTGGATGTAGGTGAACTACAACTCTAAAACCCAAGGTCAATGCCCACCAAACCCCTCCAGTATTTTCTGTTGGTCATGGGAGTTCTGTGTGCCAAGTTTGGTTCAAGTCCATTGTTGGTGTAGTTCAGAATGCTCTTTGAATGTAGGTGAACTATAAATCCCAGCTACCACTCCCAAATGTCAAGGTCTATTTCCCCCAAACTTCACCAGTGTACATATTTGGGCATATTGAGTATTTGTGCTAAGTTTGGTACAGAACCATCATTGTTTGAGCCCACAGTGCTCTCTGGATGTAGCTGAACTACAACTCCCAAACTCAAGGTCAACACCCACCAAACCCCATCCTCCAGCCAATCCTCCCATCCATCCCAACCCCACCAGTATTCAAATTTGGGCATATTGGGTATTTGTGCCAAATTTGGTCCAGTGAATGAGAATACATCCTGCAACGATTCAATAGCAAAATGACAGTTATGAAGTAGCAACGAAAATAATTTAATGGCTGGGGGTCACCACAACATGAGGAACTGTATTAAGGGGTCGCGGCATTAGGAACGTTGAGAACCACTGCCCTAGGATGATGGTCCTCCAAATGTAGTGTCTTGGTGATGGGTCCAAAGGTGACTGTGGAGCCCTATTCTTGATCCACATATTCTTCCACCGTGAGGACATCAGTTTCCAGGTGGAAGGCGGTCCTGATCAGGGTTGGCCTGACACACCTTCCTCTTGGCACATTTCTCCCTTTCACCCTCCACTCGTGCCGCTTCAAATTCTGCAGCACTGCTGGTCACAGCTGACCTCCAGTTAGAGAGCTCAAGGGCTTCCCTGTTATTGAACTGCTTAGGTGGACAGTAAGCTGGGCTGAAGGCCGGGTGCTCACCCCGACCCGGGCTTTGAACTGCCAACCTTTCAATTGGTGTGATCTGTTGCTGCTGGTGACTAACCAGCTGTGCTAAAGCCCAGTTAGTAAAAACACGGCTCCGCTTAGGAATGAACATAATAAGCATTTAAGAACTGATGTGTTAACAGAGCCAGAATGTTATCTTTCAAAAGGAATTAGTTACTTTGCTCATTACTCTAATCACCCAATGAGTTAACCCGAGACTTTTAGTGGATTTGAAAATGGTAACTCGTTGATATCTTAATTACTAACAAGTTACCATTGCTGATATTATCGTGTCATGGGAAATTGCTGACTCTATGTATTCCATCCTTGTCCTTCCCTCCCTCATAACCTCTGAACCACTTACTTTTGGTCTACACGTTGCCGATGCGCCTTGCAGGCTTCGGTGTTTGTCAGGAGGAATGTCTTTTGCGAGAATGAAAGGCTCCAATTTCTGCAAAGGGAAGTAGAGTCAGATCAAAAAACATATATTTGAATTAACCAGAGGTTTGGCTAAAGATATGAGAAGGCGACCTAGCAATCTTAATAGAACATGAGCCAAGAGTGTGATGCAGCAGCAAAAATAGCCAATGCGATTCTGGACTACATCAATAGGAGTCTAGTGTCTAGATTGAGAGAAGTCATAGTCCCACTGTATTCTGCTTTGGTCAGACCTCACGTAGCTGTTTGAGAGTTACTATTAACAAATAGGCCTAACTAATGCTATATCCCATACTTTAGCATGCGATAAACTTTGCTTTGATTTAATATTAATATTGAAATACATTGGAAATTTTGAAAATGTAACACTTTGTGGTTACATGTTACTTTTAAATTAAAGCATTATTTAAATATTTGAGTAATAAGGAGAGGCAGGTAATAAAATTTATTTATTTATTTATTTACTTTACTTTACTTTACTCATATATCGCTGTTCTCAGCCCGAAGGCGACTCACAGCGGTTCGCAACCAATAAGAACAGCAAAAATTCAATGCAACAGTGTAAAAACAGTTAACACTTAACACATTACACAAATTAATAAACAATTACTACAATAACCAATCACTATTGTTTCATCATCCAAAACATAATCCAGATTCGTCATCCATTGTTCCATTCCTATGTTCATTACCAATCATTGCACTAATTATTCGAACACCTGCACAAATAACCAGGTCTTTACTTTTTTGCGGAAGACCATTAGAGATGGAGCTAATCTAATATCTGTGGGAAGGGCATTCCACAGCCGGGGAGCCACCACCGAGAAGGCCCTATCTCTCGTCCCCGCCAGCCGTGCTTGTGAAGCAGGGGGGTTGTATGCTCCCTGCGCTCCGCTCCTGTTAGAATCATGGCTGCCGAGCATTGGACTAGTTGAAGCTTCCGAGCCGTCTTCAAAGGCAACCCCACGTAGAGAGCATTGCAGTAGTCTAAACGGGATGTAACCAGAGTGTGGACTACCGTGGCCAAGTCAGACTTCCCAAGGTACGGGCGCAGCTGGCGCACAAGCTTTAGCTGTGCAAATGCTCCCCTGGTCACCGCCGAAACCTGGGGTTCCAGGCTCAGCGATGAGTCCAGGGTCACACCCAAGCTGCGAACCTGCGTCTTCAGGGGGAGTGCGGCCCCATCCAACACAGGCTGTAACCCTATGCCCTGTTCGGCCTTACGACTGACCAGGAGTACCTCTGTCTTGTCTGGATTCAATTTCAATTTACTACTACTACTACTACTACTACTACTACTACTACTACTACTACTATTATTTGAAACTCAACAAGATTAGACACAGCAAACAAGGTCACTCTGCTGGCTGTTGTATTGGATCACACGTCAGACATTTCCCGTGTGTGATGTATCGGCGAATAATGCGTGCAGATCCCAATAAGGTGGCCTTTTGCAGCTGGCAGATGGTAATCTTGTCAGCACCGATTGTGTTTAAGTGCAGGCCAAGGTCTTTAGGCACTGCACCCAGTGTGCCGATCACCACTGGGACCACCTTGACTGGTTTGTGCCAGAGTCTTTGCAGTTCGATCTTTAAATCCTCATATCGTGTCATCTTTTCCAGTTGTTTCTCTTCAATCCTGTTGTCACCTGGGATTGCAACATCGACAATCCATACTTTGTTTTTTAACACGATCGTGAGGTCAGGAGTGTTGTGCTCCAAAACTCTCTCTGAATCCGGAAGTCTCAGAGTATGATGAGTTCATTTTCTGTAACCTATTATTATTATTATTATTATTATTATTATTATTATTATTATTATTATTGGGTTGTTGTAGGTTTTTTTGGGCTATATAACCATGGTCTAGAGGCCTCTAGACCATGGCCATATAGCCTGAAAAAACCTACAACAACCCAGTGATTCCAACCATGAAAGCCTTCGACAATACATTATTATTATTATTATTATTATTATTATTATTATTATTATTATTTTCTTCACATTTTTGTCGGTTGCTTGAGTTCCGGTTAAATGAGAGTCTACTATACAATGCAGAGCTGGCAAAATATTACACACATCAATATGCAGTGTGCCTCAGTGAGTGATGCACATTGAATCACAATGCACACTAGAGCACCATATGCACTGGTGCGCATCATGACCAATGCTCTTTGTGCATCGATGCACTTCGATGCACCTTGGGCCCAAATGCTCATTGTGCACTCTTGCGGGTGTCTTGTTAAGCAGATTTGCAATTCAGAAAATTGTTTTCTTAGCATTTTCACTCCATGACAAGACATGTGTAAATTTACATCACATATATTGGATTCCAGTGCACATATTTGTATACAGTGCATTATTATTTTCAAACAAAGCATGCCGTTTTATGTATGACCACTAGGTGGCAGCAGATAACACTACAAAGTTAAATGTTCTCCAAACAATGCCATACAATACAATTGTTTAAAAATGCAATATAATATGAAGCAAACTGAATGATATGAATCTAAAAGTCCAAAAACTTTGAAAAAGAAGCAAATTTTAAAGTGAGATATTAAAATAACAAGGTGAGATGCAACCCACAAAGGTGCAAGGAGACAAATTGCACAGATCCATGATGGGTGACACCTGACTTGGAAACAGTCATCGCAAAGAGGATACAAGGGTTTTAGGAGATCATAAGCTGAACAAGAGTCAACAGTGTGATGTGGCAGCTATAAGACCAATGCGATTCAAGGCTGCATCAATAGAAGTATAGGGTCTACATCGAGGAAAGTCATAGTCCCACTCTATTCTGTTGTTATTGCTTGGAATAGTTCTGCGTCCAGTCCAGGACACAACAATTCAAGAATACAATAAACTCGGACGTGTCCAGAGAAGGTGACTGAGGGAGCTGTGTATGCTTAGCTTGGAGAAAAGAAGGCTGAGAAGGGACATGATGGCTATAATAACTAGGCAGATGGCAATACGAACAATCCCACCATCTAACCCCAATTATAAAGGCAGGCTTTAGGGCCAAACAATATGACTGGACAGGGGCAAACAGATCCCACAAACTGCCCTTCCTTTAATAAAGATTTCACACCACTTTGGCACCTAGATAACACTTGAGGAGATGACTCTCTATTTAAAACCTTCGCTGCCACCATAAACCAAAAGAATCAGGAACCCTCTAGCTGGATAAAATGAGAAAAGGCTTTTTAGACCACCATGTACTGTGTCTTTTAAAAGGGTTTCTCTGAAAGGAAACAGGTGAGGTTGAATTAGAAAGAAAAGGGACTAAATCCACAAATGGCACGGGACTCAGGCTTAAGGTTCAAAAAAATAACAAGGAAAGTTTATTGAAGTAAAAGTTACAGAATGAAAGTGAATGCAGTCTAATAGGCTTGGCTGTTGCAGTTAAAATGTTCTTGTTCTTAAAAAGCGTAACGGTTACATGAGAGAATGGTTCTTTCTTTATTACAGTTACTATTACAAAACCCAGCTATTCCTTCCCTGAATAGCTGTAACCAGTTTGCCACAGCCTACATTCGCTGTGCAAACTTCAGGCAAGCTGCCTATTCCTAACAGGAACTCCTAAAAGCCTTCTATAATCTTGCTCTAACTCTAACATCAACCAGAACTGAACTCCACTGACTAAAAGAAGCTTCTTACTTTCCCTCCAACAGTCTAACTCCGCCCCCCTTTAACAAACCAATCCTGGCTGTTTCTGGGCTGGCTCAGGCCTAGGCCACTCCCCCTCTCTGAACTGGAGCTTTCCCTAAACTAAGATGGCTCCTGCAGCTCTCTGCCAGGCCTTCTAAGCTGAAACTACCTAGCCTGTCTCTTCCTGGGCCCTGCCACCCCGGCTGGCAAGGTAAGGGATCTTCACATTCCCTCCCCACCTCAAGATGGTTTGCGGAGTGAAAAGGTTTGCAGACCTTTTCCGAAGCAAAGCCTAACAATATCCTAGGCCTAACTAACCCCCTCTAACTAATCTATCTAGCTAATCTATCTATCTATATACATACCCACATTTGCAATAAACACCTTTTGCAATAAAACATTTATGCAATAAATACATTTTGCAATCAATATATACCATAAATACATTATACACAATAAATACATTCCTGTAGGGAAAAAAAACATGTTAAATACAGTACAACAAGGCATATAAACAATCTAACATAGTAAATACAATACCTTTTACAATCCTAATCTTTACCTTCACTCAGGGCTCTGGACAAGATATCTGCAATAACATTCTGAATGCCCTTAATATGTTTTATTTCAAAATCATAATCTTGGAGGGCTAAACTCCAACGAATTAACTTACTATTAGTGCCCTTAACCTGGTGTAACCACCTTAATGGTGAATGGTCAGTGCACAAAGTAAACCTTCTTCCCCATAAGTATGGTTTTAATTTTGTGATAGCCCACACTATCGCCAAACACTCTCTTTCGATTACTGACAAGTGCTGTTCCCTTTCTCTTTCTAACTCAGCCATTCTTTCTCTCTGCCTCTCTTCAGCTTGCATTCTTTCCTTCTCCATCTGCATTTTTTCTCTTTCCAATTCAATCATTCTTTCCTTCTCCCTTTCTTGCATCTTTTCTCTTTCTCTTTCAGACTGAACTCCACTGACTAAAAGAAGCTTCTTACTTTCCCTCCAACAGTCTAACTCCGCCCCCCTTTAACAAACCAATCCTGGCTGTTTCTGGGCTGGCTCAGGCCTAGGCCACTCCCCCTCTCTGAACTGGAGCTTTCCCTAAACTAAGATGGCTCCTGCTGCCCTCTGCCAGGCCTTCTAAGCTGAAACTACCTAGCCTGTCTCTCCCAGGCCCTGCCACCCCGGCTGGCAAGGTAAGGGATCTTCACAATGGCCATGTTTAAATGTTGGAAAGGAGGTCACATTGAGGAAGGGAGAAGCTTGATTTCCACTGATCTAGAGACACGATGGAGCAATGGATTCAAGCTGTAGGACTCTACATGGGGTTGCCTTTGAAGACTGTTTGGAAACATCAACTAGCCAGATTGCTCACCGGAGCACCATACAGGGAGCACACCACCCCCCTGCTATGTCAACTCCACTGGTTGCCGGTCCATTTCCAAGCACAATTCAAAGTGCTGGTCTTGGCTATAAAGCCCTATATGGCTCCGGCACAGCTTACCTGTCCTACCGTATCTCCCTCTACGTTCCGCCTCATAGTTTAAAATCCTCCGGGGAGGCCCTGCTCTCGGTCCCAACGGCCTCGCAAATGCGTTTAGGGACAGGGCCTTCTCCGTGGTAACCCCCTGCTTGTGGAATTCTCTCCCCAGTGAGATTAGATCGGCATCCTCCCTCCTTTCCTTTAGGAAAAAACTGAACAATTCCTACCGGCTGTTAGGAATTGTGGGAGTTGAAGTCCAAAACACCTGGAGGGCCCCAAGTTTGCCCATGCCTGCTCTAGAGTGATGGCTTTAAGGAGATTCCTGCAAGCACCTCACCTGAAGCCTTCGAGGAGGATGTTGCTTGATGATGCTTGGTGCTCCGCTTTCCTGTGCGAGGTCAAACACACCTGGTTGGGGCACTTGGAGGGGGAAAAAGAAACATTTATTAAAGAAGTTATACTATATACATGCAGATAGGCAATTATGCATTTTATGGTACGGATTCTATGAATCATAGAATCATTGAATTGGAAGAGACCCCATGGACCATCCAGTACAACCCCCTGTCAAGAAGCAGGAATATTACATTCAAAGCACCCCTGACAGATAGCCATCCATTCTCTGTTTAAAAGCCTGCAAAGAAGGAGCCTCCACCACACTTTGGGGCAGAGAGTTCCACTGCTGAACAGCTCTCACAGTCAGGAAGTTCTTCCCAATGTTCAGGTGGAATCTCCTTTCCTGTAGTTTGAAGCTATTGTTCCATTGCGTCCTGGTCTAGACTTCCTTTCACATATTTATACATGGCTATCATGTCTCCTCTCAGCTCTCCAAGACATCTGTCAGGCCAACAAGTGACCATCACTCATAAAAACACTGGAAAACATAACAGGAAAAAAGGCAAAAAAAGGCAAAACAGGCAAAAAGACGATACAGCGCATGCGCAATATGACATATATTCAAAAACGCACATATATACACATATACACAATTATATGGGGGCCCCGGTCACAGTGGATTAAAGCACTGAGCTGCTGAGCTTGTTGACCAAAAGGTTGCAGGTTCGATTCCAGGGAGCGACATGAGCTTCCGCTGTCAGCCCTAGCTTCTGCCAACCTAGCAGTTCGAAAACATGCAAATGTGAGTAGATCAATAGGTACCGCTCCGGCGGGAAGGTAACAGCGCTCCATGCGGTCATGCTGGCCACATGACCTTGGAGGTGTCTATGGACAACGCTGGCTCTTCGGCTTAGAAATTGAGATGAGCACCAAACCCCAGCATCAGACATGACTGGATTTAATGTCAGGGGACAACCTTACACAATTATATACATACACATATATGCATATACACACACACAAAACACGTATACACAGACTGGGCCACAGCAATGCGTGGCAAAAGATGGCTAGTAGTATAATATAATGCAGTAAAATATAATGCAGTTTGAAACCGCATTTATACGGTCAGTGTAGAGTCATATAATGCAACTGCAGTTTGAAACTGCATTATATGGCAGTGTAGATAGGGGCTTTCTTTTTCTTTTGCTTTCTTGCACTTCTGTATTTCCTATGTATTGACTTCTGTAGTTAATATATACTTATTAATTTTCCAAAACGGAGAAAAAGAAACTGGGTTTGTACACTTTGTGACATAAAGTAGGAGAACTGATTCAATTGATGTTTATATAACATCTAAACACAGAAATACAGGATTGCTTGTTCCGAAAATAGACAGCAAAAGGAAAGCTTAACCATGGGCTGACAGCATATTTGCCTATCATCCCTAAAAGCAGCAACAGCCAAGAGAAAATTGGGTTGGAAATTATTGTCTTCCTTTTAAAAAAAGGAGCCAGGATTACTGTAGGAGGCAGCATTGGCAGCTAATCGTTGCGGGAAGGAGCATATTTCTCCTGGGTTGTAGTCCGAGCAAACCAGCAGACCTACGTCAAGGTGCTAAATCCATTCTGAGAGTAGTGGTCACCAACTGAGATAGCTCTGTACCAGAACCCAGAATGGATTATCTGCTCCACAGATAAGAGAGACACTACTGGTGCATCTAGACCTAGCTCACATTTGACTGTAAGACTAGTTTGTCTGTTGGGATCTGAAAACTCATGAGATCTGACAAAGCTAAGGTGGTGTTGGGACTCAGTCTGTGCTTGAACCTGTGAATGTGTTTCAGTCTCCTGATGTTTCTGAGTCTGATGTGGGTAATGAGGAGGGAAGTCAGTCCCTTGTTGCTTCTGATGTGGGGGATGCTGGGACTGACTATGAGATGCAAGATGGAGACACTTTGGTCCATGAGTTTCATGCAGACACTGACACTGAGGAACATGTGGTGCAAAGGGCAAATTCCCATGAGAATGCTTCTGTCAGGCCTTGGGAGAAAGGTTTACTCCCTTCGGTTGTTATAGGTTTTTTTCGGGCTATATTTATTTACTTTATTTATTTACTTTACTTATATACCGCTGTTCTCAGCCCGAGGGCGACTCACAGCGGTTCACAACCAATAAAAACAGCAATAATTCAATGCAACAATGTAACAACAATTAACAAATTAACATATTACCCAAACAATAAACAATTACTACATTAACCAATCACTATCGTCTCATCATCCAAAAACATAATCCAGAATTCATCATCCATTGTTCCATTCCTATGTTCATTGCCAATCATTGCACTAGTTATTCGAACGCCTGCACAAACAGCCAGGTCTTCAGTTTTTTGCGGAATACCATTAGAGATGGTGCTAGCCTAATGTCCGTGGGAAGAGCGTTCCACAGCCGAGGAGCCACCATTGAGAAGGCCCTATCTCTCGCCCCCACCAGCCGTGCTTGAGAAGCAGGCGGGATCGAGAGCAGGGCCTCCCTGGAAGATCTCAGAGTCCTGGTGGGTTCATAGGCAGAGATGCGATCAGATAGGTATCTTGGGCCGGAACTGTTTAGGGCTTTAAAAGCCAACGCCAGCACCTTGAATTGAGCCCAGTAGCAGATCGGCAGCCAGTGGAGCTGGCGCAACAGGGGGGTTGTATGCTCCCTGCGTTCCGCTCCTGTTAGAATCATGGCTGCCGCACGTTGGACTAGTTGAAGCTTCCGGGCCGTCTTCAAGGGCAACCCCACATAGAGAGCGTTGCAGTAGTCTAGGCGGGATGTAACCAGAGCGTGGACTACTGTGGCCAAGTCAGACTTCCCAAGGTACGGGCGCAGCTGGCGCACAAGCTTTAGCTGTGCAAATGCTCCCCTGGTCACCGCCGAAACCTGGGGTTCCAGGCTCAGCGATGAGTCCAGGGTCACTCCCAAGCTGCGAACCTGCGTCTTCAGGGGAGTGCGACCCCGTCCAACACAGGCTGTAACCCTAAGCCCTGTTTGGCCTTGCGACTGACCAGGAGTACCTCTGTCTTGTCTGGATTCAATTTCAATTTGTTCGCCCTCATCCAGACCGTCACAGCGGCCAAGCACCGGTTCAGGACCTGGACAGCCTCCTTAGTAGCAGGTGGAAAGGAGTGACAGAGTTGGACATCATCTGCGTACAGATGACACCACACCCCGAAACTCCGGATGATCTCCCCCAGCGGCTTCATGTAGATGTTAAACAACATGGGGGACAATACTGAGCCATGTTCTAGAGGCATTCCTTCCTAACGTTTCGCCTGCATCTATGGCAAGCATCCTAAGAGGGAGTGAGGTCTATTAGAACTAGGCAAAAGGGGTTTTGTGCTGTCACACGCTGGGCCTGTAGCAATTTTCTATTAACAGGATGTGATCTTTATGTGCCCAGCGGGACACCAAGGTGCCTCGGCTGAGAGGCCCTATGAATTTCCCTATACAAAGTCTTTAGAAGGTTGGAAAGTTTAACAAAGTTCTTTATTGGTGCAACAAATCAGTCAAATACTTCTTAGATCTTCAACAAATCAACCAAATATTTCTTAACTTGTCCACAATGGACAGGCAACTAGCTTCATGAACTGTTTCTTTCTTCTATGAGGGAAATCCTTTTGACCCCTCCCTGGGCAATCTGTTTTTTAGGTTTAGCTGGCGTGGGGCCCTTCTCCCAGCCGGTTCCAATTTGCTTTATGGGTACCCGAGTAGACCTTACCAGCTAAAAAACTGAAGATTTTCCAGCTTGAGTCCTTTTGATTTTTTCCACGAATGCTGTGGATCTGTTTCTTTAACCCCAACAAAGGCTGTGCTGTATTTCTTAGTAAAGCTGTGAGAATTGTCTTCCCCAGCCAAGCTTGTAAGAAAAGAAGGTTTTCTACAGGAGGGGAAAACTCACACATTCTGTAGTTGGGCTTCAAACTGTAAGACTGAACAAACTGTCTCCTTTTCCCTCCTGAACCTGGGGAAAAGGGCGATTCCAAAAGACCCAACGATGATAGGCAGGCTGCTAGCCTATGACTGCAGCCTGGAGGAAGCTGCTTAACTGCAAAATGCCTGGCTAACAGAAACACATGCTAACTAACCATGCATAGAAAAAGAAAATTTAGCTTCTGGCACAACTGTGCCAGCACAGGTTTATATATCTGTGGAATGACCTGGGTGGGATAAAGGACTCTTGTCTGCTGGAGCTAGGTGTGAATGTTTCAACTGACCACCTTGATTAGCATTTGATGGCCTGGCAGTTGTTTGGTGTGGCTTGTTGATGCCTGGGGGAATCTTTTGTTGAGAGATGATTAGATGTGTCTGATTGTTTCCTCTCTGGTTTTTTTGCTGTTGTAATTTTAGAGTTTTTTTTAATACTGGTAGTCAGATTTTGTTCATTTTCATGGTTTCCTCCTTTCTGTTGAAATTGTCCACATGCATCTTGTGGATTTCAATGGCTTCTCTGTGTAGTCTGACATGGTGATTGTTAAAGTGGTCCAGCATTTCTGTGTTCTGTGTTCTCCCTTCGTCTGTGAGCTTTCCAGATTCTAGTTTGGAAAACAGTCTGGCACCTCCTAAAGTTAATGAGGAATAAGATAAGCTGAGTCAGCGGCTGGAGATTAGTCAGAATCAACAAGAGTCTCAATGTCTACGTAGATCCGAAAGAATTTGTCAATTAAAGTCAAAGTCTGGGAGAAAGTGAAACCAGTTTTGGGATTTAAGGTTTATCTGTAGAAAATCTTGTCAGATCAGGCATTGTTTGGAAACCAAGTATATGGAATCCGTGTTCAAGTGGTCTCGTCTTCATGGATTTTTCTAGCTTTTTAAGGTGACTAGCACTGTCTGCTTCTTGTTTGATTGCTGTCTGGATATCATTGCTTTGGATTATAATTTTATGTTTTTTGGATATTGTATTGTCGAAGGCTTTCATGGCCGGAATCACTGGGTTGTTGTAGGTTTTTTCGGGCTATATGGCCATGGTCTAGAGGCATTCTCTCCTGACATTTCTCCTGCATCTATGGCAAGCATCCTCAAAAGTAGTGAGGTCTGTTGGAA